GTGGAAAAGTAGCTCAGCTTTAAGATGTATCCTGGCTTTCTGGATTTAAGCTGAAGTCTAGTTGCAAGACAGTGTTTCACTGTGAAACTGTGGAGCACAAACATTAGTTCTTGAGCAATACCAATTGCAGAATCATATCTGCACATGCAGATGCCAAGTAGTCAGTCTTACAGATACTATCCCAGTTGTAGAGGGAATAGTTACTTACACAGGGGAAGAAAAGAATGTTGCTGCTGCTAGGAAAAATACCAAGGAAATGGTGGTGTGTTGGTGTCCTTCTTTCTGTGGCAGCTGATTCCCTAGCATGGGACACCTTGGCCAAGATTTACTGTAAGCTCATTTCCCCCATCCATCCATCCAGTTGCAAGTGTAATCTGAAGAACCTAGTCTGTTATTACAAGTCAAACAGCGTGGGCGAACATCTGCGGATACAGAGGGAAGTTCAGAGATTTGTGTAGCTCTGTCCGTTTGGAAGAGGGACTGAAATAGCATATTACTAGGCTTGAACAAACAAAACTGGCTTGAGTGAGTTGTCCAGGTGGAAGGAGTTCTGATGAAGGTTCTTTCTTTTGGAAGATGTTATTGTTGAACTTAGAAATTTTGAAAAGTGAATCAGCCAACTATTTGTGAAAGAAATTAAAACAAAAAAGATCAGGGCAGTATTTCTTGTACTAGGACATGGATGGTAAAACATGTTGTTTCTGACTAGCAGTGTTTTCTTAGGAGCAATTTCAATAGCATACGTTTGGGTGAAGGCAGTACGACAGCTTCAACAAAAACACTTGATATGGTAATTTGAGTTCATTACTAGATTAAGTTGGAAAAAGTTTAAAATGTTGAAAAAGAAGAATGTTTCTGAAGCACTTTCGAAGTTCTGAGCATACCAGTTTAACTTCATGTGGATTGCATTTTGTTTGGCTTGAGTGGTACTGAACACCATCATCTGTGAAAGATAACAAAGCCCAAAAGTGAAAAGGATTATTTTTTTTTAATTACTTACTCTACCATAGTATTTTTTTTCTTTAAAATATTGATGTAAGCAATACTTAAGTTTTAAAATGTTTGTGATAAGGGATTTTCCAACAGCCCCTGAAAGTATTTTTATGGATTAGAGCTTTTATGTTACTTTGTACGTGGACTCTACCCACATGGATTTTAGCTTTCTTTAAAAGCATTGATGGTTAATTTCTGGTATGACGATTACATCTCTTACAGAACCTCTTATGGCTGAGAATTGCTGATTGCATGACTATCATTCATTGGTTGCTATGGAAATTAAGTAGGAATGCATTCAATATTAATACTGCATTCCTACTATGGGCACTTTCATGATGGAGAAGTGCTAGCTTTCTTGAGGAATGCTAGCTGCAGTGATCCTTGTGATGAGGAATGCTCTTTGCAAGTATGTCTGGGGTACCTCCTTCCTTACTTTTCTGTGAAGTGACTGGCCACTATGCTATGGCTTATGCAGTTCTCATTGATCTTGTGCACTCAGTAATTATGCATCCCACTCTTTGAGTGTGTTTGTGGTGATGTGCCATGATGGATTTGCATGAGATTTTAGTTGTATAGGGCAAGTTGCTGCCCAAGCACTTCAGTTTGTGTCTTCTCCATTAGTTTGAAAGAGAAGTTCCTTTAAGGAACCTGGAAGGTTGTGGACACGACTATGGCATTTGTGTGCATATATCAAAGTGTATCTGCTTTTTAAAGTGTTTTCCATGCAGTCTCTTTCTTGTAGAGGGACAATAGAGTCTGGTGATGATTTATTTTAAAGACCTGAATTCTGGTGTTTTAACTTTCATTTCAGACTAAGAAGCAGACCATGTTATTAGCCTAACTAGCATTTGTATTTTCTTTCTCTATTACAGTTTGAAATGTAATTCATAAAATGCTGCTACACAAATAAGTTGAGCTAATAATTTGAATTTAAGGTTAGGTAGTGATATAATTATAATGTAACAGTTCTGATTAAAATGCAAGGGTACTAGAAAAGGTCTCAGTCTGTTTGCCAAGTTTCTTGAAGAAATATTTACATTTTTTATTACTATCCATTAAAATTCAGATAACCATGTATATCTACTTCCAGCCTGATGGGGAAAAAAAATAATAATTTAGAAATAAACTTGAAGAGTTGGAAGGAGACCTGCTGCTTAAGGGAGACTTCGTTAAAAAAGACAAACAATAAGACCACAGTGTTCTGATTATACAGTTGAAATTTATTTTTACAAGAAAGAAACTTAACAATATATTGGTATAAGGAATTAGCATACCACCACCCCACCCCAGAATGAAAAACAGGAAGAATTTTGAAACTGCCTGTTAAATGTGTACAAGGCCACTGATACCGATAAAAATGAACTTCTGGCTTCTGCAAAAATGGTGCAATGGGAAGAACAAGGTTTTTTTGTTGAAGGATTTAAAGTGTAAGAGCAAACAAAGCACCTTTTATCCTCTATATCATAAAGAAGTATTTTGTGGCAGTGTAATTTCTTTTATAATTCAGAATTGATTGATGCTCAGTGAGGTTTGTGGATTGTAGCCTTTTGCTGTGGTAGATGCACTTGATACATGCAATAATGTCCTCTTTCACCGAAATGGAAGCAGTGCTGAAAACTGCAGCTAAACTCTTGCTCTGTCTAGCAGCAGTGACATGACTGATTGCTGAAAGCTGGAGCATGGGACTTGAATAGAGGTTTGGCAACACAGGGGAAAATGGTTGTCTGTTTTGGAGTGTGACATGAAGCAATGTTTACCCTGCTCTGTTTCTCCCATTTCCAAGCAAAAGGCAGGTTGCCAAGTACAGGAACTGAATGGTTTGGATCTTCAGTTGGAAACATTTTGCCTACACTGGGGTAAATGAGATGTGCAGGTAGATCCGGCAATAGGAAAGTTGCCCTCTATTTGTATACTTTACTTAATGTTCATGCAAACTAGATGGCTTATTCTGTACATACATTGTTTTTTCTGTCTTCTCTGAACTTCAGTGTAGTTCCTGTCTGTATCCCTCCCTTTTTAAAGAGAAATTGACAAACGTTTTCAAGTTAGTAAACCCAAAACTTTCCCATAATAAATATGCACCATCACAGATTTTATTTTCTGGAACTTCCACAGGATTCATGGCAGAACCAAACATCCATCTAGAATAGTTGTTGATATAGATATGTACTTAGTAAATGCATCTTTATTTGTTGCTATTTATGTGGTTTTAGGATTAAAATTTTCCAGTTAGTGTGTGTTCTGGAGAAATTAAGATCTTGCGCAAGTGTTCAGCAAGCTCAGCTGAAGGAGTACAGTTGCTGTTTTGGCAGCTCCAGCATTCAATTATAATTCTGCCTCACAGAACTCATTTTGAAAAAACTCTTGAGTGTCAAGTCTGTTCTATTTACCTTGTAGTTTCTATGGAACTTATTTTTCAAGCTGTTCTCCAGATGTGAGAGCTGGTTTAAATGAAATTCCTGCAGAATTGTTCCATCCAGATTTACTCTGTTTTAAAAATGCCACAGAGTGAGATTTAATGTTAAAGCCCTTTTGTCACTTAAGATCCTTTAAATCTTTCAGCAGTTTGAAGATACTAGGGTGATAATGTGAAGTCTCCTCTTGTGGAGCATCTTGCCTTGCATGAAAAAATCCTCATCTTTCAAATTTCTCTTAAGTCTTTAAAACAGTCTGAGTATGTCCACTTAGTTGAATTGATTATGTTACTCTGTGTAACACTAGAGTGCTTCAATATGGTGCTGAAGAGTGAAATCTTTTGTCCATCTGGTTCATTACAATATCCTAACTAATTCAGATAACTCATGACAGAATATTCTGTGTTGGGAGTGGGACTGACTTCTCAGTAGATTGTTATACCTAGATTCACCACTGCATTATGTGACACAAATACTGGTTCCGATATTTTTTGAAACATTTCTCCACTCTTTAGCTATTCTAGAAATATAAATGCTGAATTGCATTCAATTCTTACAATGCCACATAAATTGGGGTAAGATTCTTTGAAATATACCTCCAATTATGAAACTTCAGAAAGCTTTTATTTTATAGTTTCTATTATTTTCTTCAAGAATTAAGTATTTTGAATATAGATATGAATGTTTCTGGGGAAATATTTCCTTCATCTATCAAAAAGAAGATAGGAAGAAATTGGTAAATTTGAAGTTTGGAATTTTTTGCCTAGAATGTAAAATGAAACTATCCACAGTACCCTGAGCACTACACTCCAAAGTATTTATTGAAATTGTTTTCTCTATAGGCTAGTATTATTCTGGGTTATTAATTTAAAAGCTTTGACACTTGCAGTTTTTCTTCACTGTTGTTTTATTGTTTTATTTTTAAGTAGTGTTTTATAAGATAGACATACAGAAAACTGGAATTCTTAAAAACTTTTTGTGAGAATCATGAATCTTTCAGTGTCCACATAAGAGCCTGGTGTTGTAATGAAGATCAAGGTTTTGATTTACAATAATTTTAAAAGGGGGGAAGAATGATGTTTTGCAACATTCGGTGTTTGCAGCATTGAAATTTCTTGTATTTGGACATTACCATTCAAATATATTTGGTTATCTTACGACGTATAATTCAGGTTTTTATACTAAATATATGTATTAGTATTCAATAATAATTTATTCAGATTAATCTCTGAATTGACTTAAGGTTTTCATCTGATGCTAGTAAAAAAATCAAAGAAAAGCTTGACTAAAGCTCATGCTGAATAAGGAGGAAGATACAGTTCTACTTTTCAATTTCATTTTTCCCCTTGAGTAAGGAAAGTCTATCTTTCCCTCAACATTTCTGGATGTATTATGCTTTTCTACTGATTCTTGTACCCCATATAAATGCAAGTCAAACCTCCAAATGCAGGTCTTAAAAGAAGGTTACCAAGTGCTGTTAATCTCTGCTATCTCAGCTGTACTGAAATGTATTCAGAGACTGGACTTTTAAACCCAGAGTGTTAAAGGAGCTACTGTTAAGGTTTTCTCCCCCTTTTCTCTTTTCTGCAGTACTTGGGACATGTCGAAGTGGATGAATCCAGAGGAATGCATATCTGTGAAGATGCTGTGAAGAGGCTGAAATCTGTATGTATATTTGTTTCATGAAGCAGTTGGCTTTGGGGCTGTGTTACTGGAAGAGCTTGGTTGGGCTGCAGTGCCCCCGCTAAAGACTGAACTTTTGACCTGTGTTAGGAGAACAGTTGGTCAGTCTGAGAGCACTGCTGCAGTTAGGGGGACGTGCTAATCTGACGATGAGAGGGAGAGAGTTACAACTGTTCTTTCTGCTTGCAGAAGCTATTTGCAAAACAAATGTGTAGAAATCCTCTGTGACCTTTCAGGCTAAGTTGGTACCCACATGGGACTTCAACCATTGTTTTTTAACAATTATTTCTCCCTCTCTCTCTCTTTTCCTCTCCCTCTCTCTCCTTCTGTTGCCTGCCATTTTAATAGTGACTTAATTCACCATTGTTGTACAAAATATTACTTGATTTAGGCTGCTGTTTTCTAATGCACTGCAACATTGTAGTCATGCATGAAATAATCTGGCTTGCATCTGCTCAAAGTGGCCTGAAGGCTGCCTAATTCTAATGTCATGAAGTGGGCTGCTCTTAGTTTGGCTTCTGTGAACGTTTGCTCCTGTAAATGGCACTCGTTCAAAGCTCTTTGTATTTCTGTGGCTCATCTGAAGAGGCCTTGTCATCTCTTTCCTGCAGTAGTAATATCACAAAATCCTGTGATAATAGCAAACTCCAGAAAGGCAGTCATCAGTCTATCAGGGAACTGAGGCTAAGACAGCATTGAAGAGAACAGAAGGAGAAAGGACATGGGAATTTGAAGTTTGAATGGAGATAGAGAACTGCAGTCCTTTTCATCATTTATGGGTTTTAGCTATTTATATTCTTCAGTGATGCCTTTAGTGGAAGAAGCTCTTGTATCCTAGCAGCTCAACAAAGTTATTGAAAGTACATCAAACTCTCCTACTGAACCTTTGGTAATTGAAGACAGCTACTACTGAACATCACTTTTTTCCTCACCAGATATAAGAGCTCAAATTAACTTCCAACTAAATCTGTTCTTCACTTCTTCCTAGTGCACAACAGAGGATTATAGGTTATCTTTTCTGCCTTCTGTTGTTCTGTAAAGATTCTGAATTAGTTTAGTGCTCTTATTAGAATCTAGTCTTTTCATTCTTTTCTCTCTCAGCTAATGTATAGCAACCTGTTAAAGTCACATCCCATCTGTTCCCATTCAGTCCAACAGTGATTGGTGGTTGATTTTCATTAAAAAGGGCCACACAAAATATAAATTAGTTTCTTTATTATGTGGATTTGGTTTATGTAGCTAAAAGTGCAAGTACTGACCACATAATGAATTGCATCCATATTTGTCCCATTCTGTTTTTTGTTCTATCAGAATAGTTTCTATTAGGACAACAAATAACACTGCAGTGTCTGCTTTATGCACCTTTTCTCATTCTCTTCCCTGTGGAGCTGTGCTGTGAAGTAGATGTTCACTGGTTTATTTATAAACTTAAATCTCACAAGCCAGTTAAGTGTAGCTAAGCTTATAAATAATGAGACAATTAAACAATAAAAGCACAGCACCTGGTTTCTTGTGGAATCTGGATAATTCCAGGATTGTGATTCTTGATCACCTGAATTATTGATTCAGATGTCAGACTTGCACGTCTAACTTTTACAGAGCACTCTCTGGAAGTAAATAATTTAATTTTCCTATTTTGTGCCATGTCATTATTCCAAACTGGATGGCATCAATTTACCCATTGTCATAAATTCAACGCTTTTTTTTCAGGTAGTTTAATTTATTCTGCCATTTGGAGTTTTCAATGTCTCTGTATAACCGGGACACAAGCGCACGTCTGGTGCGATTGCCGTTTGTGTTGTCTCCTTTGTCAGTGCTGGAAGTTGTGAAGCAGAGATTGATTTCTCCTTGGGACCCAAGAGGGAGATTCAGATTACTGAGACCCTGCGTATGTTTTCATTCTTAGACTTCACCAGATCCAAGGTTCATTTGTAGGTTTTAAACTGAGGACATTTCTTTAGGACTCTGCTATTACTGAAAGCTCTTTTCTGTACAGTATGGTCTTCTAATTAGCAAAAGCCAAATCCCTGGATGATGTTTCAGAATGCAAGGAACGTGATAAGAAAAGAGTTTATTCTTTTGGTAGTCTCTTGCTTTCATAGTACTTGGATATTTTGATGAGATTTCTCTTGGTCTTGAAAGAATTACAAGTTTGAGCTGCAGTGCTTGAACTGGAAGACTGGCTTAAGGGAGATTGGACTTCACTTGGTATGGCTCAACTACATTGAAATGTGTGTGGCCTATCTTCATCTTTGTGTTCTCTGCACATACTGTGTATGTTTTATAAATCTGACAAATAAAAATTAGATAGACTTGTCGAAATACTTGTATCTTGTACCTTCTAAAAATTAATTTCTGGCTCTCTTTATTTATTTTAATAGGTACACCTTTTTTTCTTCTTAATTCTTGTTCTCCAACAGTTGGCAATTCATCTGAGGAACTGCTGGCTCTTCTTTTTTAGGGTTGACTAAGGGATTATAAAACATTTTATGGGATTTGTCAAGAAGCGTGTAGAACAGTGTTAATCTTGATTTTAGGAATAGCTTGATTTCTGCTTTACTTTTTGAAAGAAAAGATGCAAACAAATCTTTCTGTCCCTTTTCTATGGGAAATAACCTTTCAGGGTTTTTGTACTACCTGCTCATTTAATGTGTTGTAATTGTTTTTGAGCATTGCATCCTGCAGAACTTGAAACCACATGATGGTGAGCAGTTTATTCAGGCATTGTCTAATTGATAACTGAGTAAAAGGAACCATTTTTAGCTAAAGAATCCCTCATCCATACTGCATTCTGTTGTTACAGTTTTTTAGCTCTGAAATTGCACACCAACAATACTATAATGTGCAGATTACACTATTGTTTAGAATGAAGACCAACTTGAGTTGTGTCCCTGATTTCTGTCTGATTAAATGGCATCAGAGTGTCATTAATGGATCAGAAACCCATGTATTCAGCTATCCGTCTATTACTAACATGGGTTTATATTACCAATGGAGCTTACATTTTTCCTTTAGTAGGGAGATATGGCTGTGTATACATTTCATACCTGGTAGGATCCTTGTATTTGGACACTAAGTTCTAAATGGTTTCTTCAGAACCATTTCACTGAATTTAAAATACTTAGCACAAACTGGGAAGTAACTTCTAGTGGCCCTGTGAGTGTATTTGGCTCAGGTATGGGAACATCATATAAAGATAAAAGTATATTCTCTCATGTGATGTTGATTTGAAATCAGCTTTAGTGTGTAGTATTGGTTTCTAACTTGCCACTTTTTGTTTTAAATGATGCATTTGTTTTAATATATGTTCTTGTTTTAGCAGGTAAAGAGACATAATTTAATATTTTAAAATGTGCATTAGTAATCTCTAAACTACATTAACTTAGTGTTGTTTAAAAACCTTTTTGCATGATGTCTTTTAACCTTGTCTAATTTATTAAAAAAATAATCTTGTTTAACAAGCATTTTGCTGAAAGCAAAATTAACCATCACCTAAAAATGAAGTAGCTTCTGGTGAATCTCTAGCTTTTGCTTTCTTTAAAAAGCTGTTATTTAGTGTAATGCAATAGTCATTGCTCAACTTGGCAGCAGCATCCAACCCCTTCTCATTATGTACACAACACAGTGATTAATCCATTAGTTCCCCTCCCAGTTTTCAGCATATCCTGTCCAAATACATAACCATTTCTGCCTCAGAATATTGTTAAGCTTTTCAACTGACTGAACTTGGAGATGTTCTTTCTACAGTATCTGAGTTGACATAAATATGGTACAGATACTAGATAACAGCTCTGGAAGGACCTCGAGCAGAGTCACAGAGCAAGAGAAGTCAGGAAATGCAAAGTTGAGATTGACACTCCCTTCTTAACTTTGTGTTTCCTGGCTTTCGTTGACTTACGTCAGAACCATAGCTTGGATTTAAATATAACCTTGTTTTCCAATCAATTCTTGAGACACTGCCTCAGGGTATTTGTAATTATAATTTTTTGTATAGTTTTGTTATCAGTGAGTAACATGTTGGGACTGAACGGTGTTAACTTGGGGCCAGAGGCTGTCACAGAGACTCTCAGTGTCTCATCTGCAGTTTTCCACCTCCTCCCCTTGACTACTATACATAGCTTTCTTACAAGTGAGACAATTTGGAAAGATAGCAGGAGCAGTGATACGCTTTGTGCCAGCTTCCCTCAAGCGTGGAGCAGCCTGTGACACTGCTCACTGAGCACCAGGCCTGCTGCAGTGCTCTCTCAGGAGATCAGTTTGGATCTTGCAGTTTTCTTTTCACAGTCTGGTAACAAGACAAAGCGAACTAAACTGCATGCAAAAATGCTTAAAATTGTGTGTTGCCTTTTTCTTAATGTGAATTGGGCAATGGGTATAATCCCTTTCAGTCAAACGAAATTTAGGAAGTTTTCATTCAGCTCTTGGTATCTTTGTGCTTGTCAAACTGTCCCTGTCTGAGCTGGCTTCAAAGGGGTCTTGGTCAGCCTGTCAATTCAGAGTTGTACAATTAATGTCTAGTACTTGTATAAATATTGTATAAAGCCTTGCAAGGCTTTAGAGATTGAAAGAGGCAGGGATTATGTGTTTTACTTGTACCACAAGGTAAGATGAAATTCCTCACCCTTCAGAAAGGACTGCTTAAGACGTGAAGTGTAGGAGTAGCAACAAGTAAATTAAATAAAATGAAGCAGTGTTTAACCCTGTTTTATACCAGCCATACATGCTTCTCCAGCTTACAAAGCATTTGCTTTGGGAAAG